AGCTTGCTGCTGCTGCTGCAGCTGGTCCACAAGCTGGACCTGCAGCAGTAATTGCCTGTGCAGTGCCTCCTTGTCAGAGATCAGCTGCTGATAGGTGGCCAAGTACTGCTGCAGGTGACCCAGGTACTGGTCTGGCTTCTGCTGCCGCTGCAGACTTTGAGCCTTTCAGCTCTTCAGCTTTACCTGCAGGATAGGCGTCAGGGCAGGTTGTGGCTAGCTTCCAGATTCTGGACCCATAAATAAAGAAGCCAGGGCACTGTGGGGCTCTGTCACCTGCACAGGCCCCTGGCCCCTTGCTCCAGGCCTAAGTGACTGCTCCCTTGCCTAGAGCGCTGTCCCTCCCTCCCCAACCTCAAAATTTCACACCCGTCTTCCCACCATTTAAACTGTAGGCTACAGACTGGTGGAAAAGCAGAGGGAACCAACCACCATCTGCTAAGTTGTGCTAAGGTTCTTCTGTATGGTCTCCAGGGTTTGCAGGCACCTCTGCCCACTTCCCCTAGAGCTCTGCGTTTCACTACAGTTCCCTTAGCTGAATCTTGTCCTCTTGCTTCTGTAGCCTCACCTCCTGCTCCCACATGCTCTCTCTCTTCTGATCCCACAGCCTCCTCTTCTGCTCTCACATCTTCTGCTCCCGAATCTTCTCTTTCTGTTTCCATAGCCTCTCCTCCTGCCACAGCCTCTCCTGCTCCCATAGCCTCTGCTCCTGCTCCTGCATCTTGTGCTCCTGCTCGGGCATCTTCTGCTGCTGCTCCTACATGTTCTTCTCCTGCTTCTGTATCTTCGTCTGTTGCTCCCGTATCTTCTCCTGCTCCCACATCTTCTCTTGCTGCCCCCATGTCTTCTGCTCCTCCTCCTGTACCTTCTCTTCCTGCTCGCAAATCTTCTCTTGCTCATGGTAGAGGCAATTCCAGCACTTACTTTCATTCAGCTGGGCTTGGAGCTGTCCTTTCACTCTCTCAAGCTCTTGATTCACGTGCTCGATGACCTCCTGTAGCTGCACCTGGGGTAGTAAAAATGTTGGTTTGAACCTCAGAAGGAAATAGACTCGTAAGGTAGCCACAGAAATGTAATCTAGAAAATAATGGTTTTCATCCATGATGCTCTATAAAATTTTTTTCTAAGCCCTAACCCTGAGATTCTGATTCCCCAGACAGGGCCACAATTTGTAAATTTTTAGCACAGTCTAGAGGATTCTATGGCAGGACCAGAACCAGGACCTAAATTTTCCAGCTCTGGGACAGGTAGCAGGAGCTTGGCCCTATCCAGCTTTCTTTTTAGCTCTTGGACATTGAGCTGGATGGTGGCCTTTTTAGACTATAAGGGTTGAAGTTGTTCTTCGAGTTTGGTGTTCTCTTCTGCAGCTCCTCATTGATGATACAATGTACAGAGGCAGTAGAGAAAGGCATGAACGAAGAGCAGAAAGGACCACTTTGGTGATCAACCCTCTACCCTTGCCCCACAACCACAGAGCCATTGCACTGGAAGGGACCCCAGGAATTAAAAGTCACAGGTGGCAGGCCAGAGAGAAGACGTGAGTTGCCTGAGGCTACCCCACGAGTCAGTGGTACAGCAGGCACTAGAGCTTTGCTGGGCACACGTGCAAACCTGTATGACCCCCTCACCATGTTCACCTGTACCCCCCACCTCCCAGCATACCACCCACGCTAAGGGCCCCCAGGCCTCCCATCCCCACTTCCGCCGTCCTACGTGTTCCTGTACAGTTCCAGACTCAGGCCGTCCCTCTCCTTTAGTAACTCCTCATTGCACTGCAATTAGAGAAAGGTTAAGTCAGGATGCAGCAGACAGAGCAGCAACCGGCCGACCAGGAACAATAGCGGCAGTGACTACTCCACAGTAACACTTCCTCAGTCTCGGTCACGCCTGGCATGTTCCAAAGGCATGTCTGAGCCCATGGTGTCATTTTTTTTCTTTTCTTTTTTATTTTGAGTTGGAGTTTTCGCTCTTGTTGCCCAGGCTGGAGGACAATGGCGCGATCTTGGTTCACCGCAACCTTCACCTCCCAGGTTCAAGTGATGCTCCTGCCTCAGCCTCCTAAGTAGCTGGGACTGCTGCCATGCACCATCACGCCTGGCTAATTTCGTATTTTTAGTACAGACCAGGCTTCTTCATGTAGTCAGGCTGGTCTGAAACTCCCAATCTTAGGTGGTCTGCCCGCCTCAGTCTCCCAAAGTGCTGGGATTACAGGTGTGAGCCAAGGAGCCTGGCCCTCATTTGTTTTTCAAAGAGCTCAGTAAGGGTGGAAGGGACAGGGAAAGAGTTGAATTTATAGCTGGCTAAGGGGCCCAGAGAGATCAGAAAATATTGCTATGACTGTTACTACTACCACTGTTGGAATCTTCATTGAGTGCTTTACCAGGCACTATGCTAACAATCCCATTGAATCCTCACAACCACCAGGAGACACGTACTATTATTACTTCTATTGTGTAGATGAAAAACATGGGATATTAAAGGTTAAGTGTTTGCCTAAGATCACTGAGACAGAACTGGGATTTCAACACCCAGGTATCTCTGATTCTCCAAACCCATTCTTTCCTGGGTGTGGGAACACAGATAAGAAGAAGGAAATTAATGTTGACTTTTTGAAAGGATGATAGGTTCCCATGATCCAAAACTCAGAAGTACAGACGGGAAATAATTCCTACCCCCACTGTCGCTCTCTCTTGAGTTTTTAATGCATCCTTACAAGCATGTTTTCTGTATCTTACCATGATACACATACACACGTTCCCTCTCTCCCCACAAATGGGTAACATACTAAAGATACTCTTCTCTACCTTTATGGTACGAGTATCCTAACCCCCACCTAGGATTTGGCCAAGGCCACAGCCAGGTAAGGGCAGGCCGGGCACTTGGACCCTGAGCTCTGTGTCCTGTGCTCACTGCCTACAGCACCCCCAACTAACCCACAGCAGCCTGCCTCTAACAACCACACACAAAAGCAGCAAGAAATGGCCCATGCTGCCTTCTGGGAAGGACACTCCATCCTGCAGAAGGAACCTTTACATTCATTCCTTCATCTGGGAAGCCAGGTTGCCACGGGACAGGGCAGGTGGTTGGACTCGCCCTGTCTACCGCCTTTTTCTGTGTGGAGACATCAGAGAAAGCCTGCTTCAAATCCTCCATGTGGTGTGAGGTATATTGTAAGCGGCCAGAAATGTATCTGCAGTCTCCTGGAATGAGAGAGGTTGAGATGAGGCCCAAGGGACTCCCCCTAAAAGCCTGTCAAAGTGCCAGGTTGAAGGATGATGGTGTGCCCAGATTCCCACCTAGCCGCCTGGCCACATTCTCGGTGACATAGAGTGCCTTCTGCAATTTGGTGATTTTGTGAGCCTGTGGGAGAAAAGCCAAGGACGTGCTGAAAGAGAAGCAAAGAAACCTCCAGGGAACGGCAGGGAACTTCACATCCTCCAGTCACCTCTACCTGCCTCCTGAGTGCTGCCTGATGGTGGTGGCTTGGCTTATTTTCCTACAGGAAGAGGAAGGCAGAGCTCTTACCGGGGGAGTGGCAGAGACGGCAGAGCCAGACATGTCCCCAGAATGCCACCAATACCCCAGGAAAGGACCACCTAAGGGACCAGGTTTTCAGGGACCCTGTGGGATGGAGTGGAATCTGGGGGGCGAGCCTTCTTCCCCGGTATGGGAGTGAGTTAGACAAGACGGGCCTCTACATCTCAGTGCCCCCCAAACCCAGCAGTCACGTCATGAGCAAACGAAGAAATGTTACTTCATCCAGCTGAGCTCAGTTCTGTTCTGTCGGGAGAGTCAAAGGTGACTGAGGGTGGCCCCCTCGACTCTATTCTGCAGGCCAGGAAGCGGTAGGCAGGGGCCAGGAGTGGAGTTTAAAGTCAAAGTTCTGAGACCCAATGGGAACAAAAATTAGTGAACTCTCCTCAAGCTCCCAAAGAAAGAGGATTTGGGTCTTTGTTGGTTGTCACCCACAGCCACAGAACTGAAAGTCTGAAACTAGATTCTCTCAAAAGGATGCTCACATCAATCTTCAGAGACAGAGTGTGAGAAAAGCCCACGCTTCTGCCAGCTTGAAGATTTTAAGCAGAAGAATGAAATAATGATTTACACGAAAGAGGAAGGAGGAGGAGGAAAGGAGTGATCAGAAGGTTGATGCAACATTGCAGGCAAAGGATGATGGTGATTTAAGTTGGAGGTACGGAAGTGAGTATGCTGAATTCAGTGAGGAGATAGAACTGACAAGATTGCTAGGGAATTAGATATAGAATAGAGAAAAATGAAGACATCGAAGTAGCAGCCTAGTTTTACATCTGAGCAACTGGAAAGGCAGAAGTGCCGTTTACTGCAATAGGCAAGGCTTGAGTGGTGGGGCATGGGGAGAGGACTTCAGTGGATGGCAGAGTAGAGATGGGTAGAAACAACATTCTTTTGGACACGGTGAATTGGTGATGCTGAGTACCAGAATTTTAAAAATTGTGAAAAGCTGTCCAGTCTGGATATTCCAGTTGTGTGCTACTGAATTCAAACTAAGTTTGGTTTGTCGCTGCTGTAAGCCGGGAACTCAAGGGAGAGGCTGAGGTTGGAAATATAAATGAGTCATTATTTTATATGTCATATTTGAAGTTCTTCAACGAAATGCATATAAAATGCTGTGCTGCGAAGAGATGTGAAAGTTCTCATTCTCAGGAAGCTTAGGACGGGGACAGACAAGTGGCAAATTTGTACTTCCAGTTAAGTACTAGGAGAGGTAAACATTGAATGCTTTAGGAGCACAGAGACATGAGGGAAAACCAACAGTTTATGTGTAGAGGGATGGGGGCCGGAATAAGCCTCAAAAGGAGTTTCTAGGCATTAGTAACTGGGGTTGGTCTGATTTCAATAACATTTCAACTGAGAGATCCATAGTGTAAACATTTTAACAATTTTTTAAGTGTTGATAGCCTAGGAAAGTATGAACTCTGAAATGTGGGGAAAAGTGATTTACATTTCCCATTACCTTCCCCCAGCTCCACAAGTTGCAAGAGGCCGGCAATGTGCCTCCACGGGACACCCCCATGGCGCCCACTCCAAGCTCGAGATCTGCGCATTTACTTGAGGAAGTTCTCTGGCCACGGGTGGTTTTGGAGACCTTAAGCAGGCACTGCTCCAGGGTCCCTTAGCACCAGGCCCGTCAGGCCCTGGCTGGCAGCAACTCCTGACACCGCGGATGCAGACCAGGCAAGAGAGCCGCCTAGAAACCACACCGCAAGGATGCGCTTGGCACAACTTGGATTTCAGAGCCGAAAGTTCTGCGGTGTGCAGGTTCCGGACTCACTTCCAGACCAAGCCAGCGGCAGCTTAAGCGCTTTCAAGTGTGCAGTGGGGGCAGGAGCCAAAAATCGCCGCTGGTCAACACAAGCGCCTTTGGACTGTCTTCAAACTTTGTTAGGTATTTTTCCAGGGCCATGAGGGGTGAGGCATCCTGGCTTTAAGTTTCTGCTTTAGGTAAAGTGGGCATGTTGTGTGTGGCAGGAAAGCAGCGGCCTTCACTATGGCGCCTGTCAGGTCGACCTGCCCTCCCCAGGCACCTTCCTGGGACTTTGAGAGTTAAGATGGCGGGCATCCTAAAGGCGGGGCGCAAACGCCTTAGGTGAACACTGGGCACCTGTGTAAGTCGCTATGGGGTGGGGCGGGATGGAGGCCAGGGGAGAAAGAAGGCCTCAGCCTGAGCAAAGCACCTTGATCCCGTGCGCTCTGTCCCCCAGGGAGTGTCCTGCCGCTGCTGCCAGCACTTGGGCAGAGGATACCCTCCAGAAACACCTCCGCTTAGCTCTGGGATGTCCTTGCATGAGTCCCACTGCCACATGGGAGCTGTGCGCCCTGGGTGCTGCACCTTCCAGTATGTGGGCCCATGAGGCAGGGGATCTTGCCAAGCAGGTCAGTCAGAGCGGGGATGGAAGTAAATGGAAGTGGCTCAGTGTTATTTTACTGGGAACCCATAAAGAGGCTGGTGAGAAACCAGAAAAGAGAGCAAGTCTTGCATATTAAAAAAAAAAAAATATATATATATATATATATATATATTTGTGTGTATATATATATATTTATATATTTGTGTGTATATATGCATATATACACACAGACATACATACATGCCAGGCACTTTGGCTCAGCCCTGTAATCCCAGCACTTTGGGAGCACGACACGGGCGAATCATCTGAGGTTAGGGGTTCGAGACCAGCCTGACCAACATGGAGAAACACTGTCTCTAGTAACACAAAATTAGCCTGGCGAGGTGGCACAAGTCTGTATTTCCAGCTACTCTGCAGGCTGAGGCAGGAGAATTGCTTGAACCTGGGAGGTGGTAGTTGCAGTGAGCCAAGATATCAGAGAGGATTAGGTACTCTTTTTTTTTTTTTCCTCAAATTAGTTTCAATTGTACATTTATGTATGTGTGTACTAGGTTGTAATCCGCTTGGATTACCTGGTAATAATACGTCCGCAGAACTGGGGTATATATATTAACCTGTTGGTAATGAGAATCCTTGAATACTTCAGTAATTAGTTATGTAGACTGGGGCGTAGCAGAAGACCATCTTAGGCTGAATTTTGCCCTCTATTCACTTATGATGCATCAAGTTTATGATCTTAGATAAAATGAAATAATGTCACCTTAATTTTCTTGTTATCAAAGATTTTAGATAAGGAGGATTTCTTTTTCTTAGCTGATGTTTTGTGGTACTAGATACTGTTTGAAGTGTTTTTCATGAAAACCTAACAACTTCTTGTTTCAAATGTGTATTCGTTTTGTTATTTCATGTCTTTATTACATAATGTAGTTTTATAGGATTATGTTTAAGCTTCATACATGTATGTAATTTGCCTTCTGAGAGAAATCTGGCTCTTACATTCCTGTGTTTTGGGGAATCAGAAAGCAGTGTAATACATGAGGAAAAGGCCTTGCAGCCTTCTTCAATTACTGAGTGAAAAAAGCAGGTTTCTTCACGTTTAGATGCAGTTCTGCCTCTAATCCTTTGAAATTATCCAAATAATTTTTGGTCTTAAAAATCCAGTCTCAGAGGAAATCCTCATAATTTAAATACCCTCTTGATCTTTCCTTGTTTTTTTTCCCCCAAAATTAGATATTTTCCTTAGGTGATAATCGTTCACATAAAATACACATTAAAAGAGTCCTGTAGGCTTACACCTTTAACGAACTTACTACAAAATGTAAGACAAAACATTGGGTCTAGGTAGAGAAAATTGCCTGCTCTTATAAAGTATGTGTTGTTTCACTGTCACATTCAAACTGACCACTGTGAACACCAGAGAATAGTAAGTGCTTCTGAATATTCCACTTCCTTTAAGTGTTACCAGTAAATATGAGTCATTATCAGAAAATGTTATTCTGTGTTCTAAATCTACCTGAAGCCCAGAATTTGCTTTTCGATTCCAGTCAGTTATTTGAATGGGCAGAGTAGAGTGACTAATTTTGATTCAGTTTTTCCATTTATCTCCTCTGGTTTCACTTCAATAATTAAAAAGGACAGATATATAAATAATGGATTTTTGCATGTATTATTTGCTTAGTTTTTAAAATTCAACAAGAAGTGCATGAATTCTCAAGGATATCAGTGGCTGTTTAATTTTCCAGGGCTTTTTTTCCAGACTCTGAGCTCCGGTTCCAACACTAGAGCCTTCTCCATGTCACATAGCCCTTGTATCAAGTGGCTGGTCCTGTATGGAACCTGGGTCGACTCAATCATGTGGCCATAGCAGTGCCAGATTTGGAAAAGCTTGCAGCATTTTATAAGAATCTTCTGGTGGGCCCAGGTAAGGGAAGTAGTCCCTTTTCATGAACATGGAGTGTCTTGTTGTTTTTGTCAACTTGGGAAATACCAAGATGGAACTGCTTCATCCGTTGGGAAGTGACAGTCCATTTGCAGGTTTTCTGCAGAAAAGCAAGGCTGGAGGAATGTGTTATAACCTGAGCAAGTTAGAGAAAGTGCCGCACTCTGGATTCTGATTGTGAGTCCTTTGTTGCTGGTGACTGAGAGACCCCTAATGCTCAAAATTCTCTGAGCCCCGAAGAAGGGTCTTCATTTCTTTTTATACCTTGCTTAGGATAGGGGAGGGAGGGGGAAGCCTAGCTGAAGTGGAATTTTACAGAAGCAGAATAAGCAAGTTGGTAGGAGACTGGTAACCAGGAGGCAGGAGGTTCCCATAGTTGCTGGTTAGTAAGAGTACTTCCATACAATCACCAAGGGGAGGTAGTGGGGGGTTGGGGGACTTCCATACAGTCAATCACCAGAGGGGTATTCACAATAGCAGATGTGCTTGCAAGCAGGAGGCGGTTACAACGGTTACAGGTACTGAGAACAGCGTGACCCAAACCTCAACGGTTCAAAGCTTCAAGTACAACATGACTCAGTAATGCACCGAAGGGGTCCATGACTGGGAGGGAGAAGCTAAGATGGAGTCAGTTAGGCTAGGATAAATTAGGCTATCACAAATGCATCACATCTGCACTGAGGTATTTTAATTATTTTAATGCTTGTTATTTTAAATCTGCCTTTTACAAAATGTCTTTTACTTTTTAAGACTACTTATGGTCACTCATCAGATTGTTAGGTTCTTTAAGGGAAATGATAATATTCATCCTTCTCAAAGATAGATCCTTAGATAGCTTTCTTTTTCTTGGGTGGGTGACTCACGCCTGTAATCCCAGCACTTTGGGAGGCTGAGATGGGTGGATCACCTGAGGTTAGGAGTTTGAGAATAGCCTGGCCAACATGGTGAAAACCCATCTCTTAAAAAAAAAAAAAGAAAGAAAACTCTAAAAAATCATATTCATGTATTTTTTTGAAGTCTGGATTCAGTGACCACTATAAGCACCACCAAAGTGAGCCACAACATAGAGTCTGCTCTGGAAATGATTGATCATGTATGACCTCCCATGCAATAGGAATACAACTGTTTTCGCTATCACAGGAAATTAGAAGAAACACGTGAAAAGAATTTATAAGGTAAAGCTTTCCATGTCCATGCTAAATAGCATTTTTTTTCCAAGTTGTAATCTTACTCTGTCACCCCGGCTGGAGTGCAGTAGTGTCATCTCAGCTCACTGCAACCTCCACCTCCCTAGTTCTCCTGCCTCAGGATTCTCCTGCCTCAGGCTCCTGAGTAGCTGGGACTACAGGTGTGCACCACCATGTCTGACTTATTTTTTGTATTTTTAGTAGAGACAGGGTTTCACCATATTGCCCAGGCTTGTCTTGAACTCCTGACCTCAGGTCATCTGCCCACCTTGGCCTCTCAAAGTGCTGAGATTACAGGTATGAGCCTCTGCACCTGGCTTTAAATATTCTTTGTAAAATTAAAATTCTAATAACTTGCCTTTATTACAAAGGCAATACATTTTCAAATACTGACTGTGATTTCTAAGATCTTCTCAATTGCCTCTGCTAACAATTCGTAAAGGAACATGAAGAAAGAACATTTCTGTAGATGTTCATGTTCAGATAACTGCCTTTTAGAATATCAGCAATGACAATTATGCATCACTTTAAATGAATTTGCTGGGACAATTCTTCTGATAGAAGGAATGACATGATTGTTAGGCCAAATTTCTAATACAAGAAAAAGGTAGTTTGTTTCTAGAGTGAATTCAAGGATGTATTCAGTTCATTATTTGCAAACATGTATGAGACCCTACAATGTGTATTCTGCCATGTATTTGGGATTTAACAGTAAGACAGACCATGTCCATAATGAGGAGGGGCAGAAAGTGAAACACATAAGTGCAATATACTTTGATAAGTAGAATTGATATGTGTGACTTTATAGTAGCACAGATAAAGGAGATTGATTGCTCCAGCAGATTGATTTGCTGGGAAGGCCTCATAGAGAATGAGTTACAATGAATGTGAGGGAATTCCCTAGGTGAACAAAAGGAGAAAGCTATTCCAGACAGAGGGAATTGCATGTGGAAAGGCACAGAGTCATCATAACAGCTAACACTTCAGTGGCTAGCATGGTATCTAATGTCTGTAATCCTAGCACTTTGGGAGGCCAAGATGGTCAGATTGCTTCAGCCCAGGAGTTCATGACCAGCCTGGGCAAAATGGCAAAACCCTGTCTCTACAAAAAATCAAAAAATTAGCTGAGAGTGGTGGCACACACTTGTATTTCCAGATTCTTGGGAGGCCGAATTGGGAGCATCGCTTGAGCCCAGGAGGTGCTAAGGTGGAGGCTGCAGTGAGCTGTTATCATGCAACTGCGCTTGAGCCTGTGTGACAGAGCAAGAACCTGTCTAGGGAAAAACACACACACACACACACACACACAAAACGGACAAACATTTAGTGAGTTTTCTAGTTGTATGTCTACAAAGTACTCAACACGTTATTATCTTTAATTCTCATAGCTACCCAATGAGGGCCATATTATCCCCATTTGACAGGAAAGGAAAGTGAGATGGAGCTGTCAATTTGCCTACAGTCATATTAGTAGTTGGTAGTGAGGCTGGCATTGAAACCCAGATTGGTTCTGATTCCACGGTCTGCGCTCTTACCCCTGATGCCAGTTGCCTTCATTATATTAACTGAGTTTTGAATTTGAGGTGGGGAAGCTGTAAGATCTTAAGCAGAGGCTGGGCGCGGTGGCTCAAGCCTGTAATCCCAGCACTTTGGGAGGCCGAGGCGGGTGGATCACGAGGTCAAGAGATCGAGACCATCCCGGTCAACATAGTGAAACCCTGTCTTTACTAAAAATACAAAAAATTAGCTGGGCATGGTGGCACGTGCCTGTAATCCCAGCTACTCAGGAGGCTGAGGCAGGAGAATTGCCTGAACCCAGGAGGCGGAGGTTGCTGTGAGCTGAGATTGTGCCATTGCACTTCAGCCTGGGTAAAAAGAGCGAAACTGTCTCAAAAAAAAAAAAAAACAAACTTAAGCAGAAAACTAAAGGCGGCCTAATATTACCCTTTATTCCATTTTTAAGAAGTGACGTTTGTGGGTTTGTGTGTGTGTGTGTGTGTCTGTGTGTGTTTTGAAATGGAGT